TGCCTACCTATACGGAGATCATGATCACAACTGGTGCGCGACCCTCAATAGCCATGACACTCACTTAGGCCCTTCTCACAACATGCTCAAACAAGTTGCCTACCTCATCGGGGTACACCCTAAGACCCGCCACTACCCGCAAAAAAGATGCGAATTGGGTTGCATACCTACTAGGCGCTCGGCTGGACAAGTGTCCCTTTAGTCCTGGACGTCCGAAGAGCGCGTCTTGGGCTGTACGACCCCATATTATAACACACACAATTTCGGCAAACGCTGCTGTAACGAGAGTCGCAGCAGCAGCAGCCACAACGGGATTCACCCCCCCCCCTCCCTCCACCAACCTCCTCCCCTCGGACAGAACTTTAATAATAATTGTGACAGCGGGAGGGGGAGTACGTGTTTCGCCCGTGGCGCGCGGCACGACGACACGCCGCGGAGCTCTAACGGTCCTTGAGGGCTCTGCTGCTGCTCCGCTCTCTGCTCCGCCCTGCGCCGCGGCGCTCGCTCGTCTCGCCCGGAGCTACCAAAGAGCGTCCTTTTCGTGGGGCGGGGGTCCGCGCGCGAGTGTCGCCGCCCTGCTGCTGGTAGATCGCCTCCGACAGAGTGTTTTTAAAAAGAGCGCAGGGATTGCAAGCGTTGCCGGGGCGGCGGTGGCGCTGCCGTTTGCGGCTCGGCCGGGAGGCGCCACAGGATGACGGCGGCCCCCCGGCTCCGCCCGGCTCTCCCCAGCAGGGCTGCCCTGCCCTGTCCTCCCGGCCGCGCTATCTGTTTCCTGCCATCGGCCGAGCCTCTTTGAACCTGAGGAGGAGGCCCGACTGGTCGAGAATACCGCAACGCGCGCGCCAGCCACTCTCTGCCGCTGGAGAATGAATGGACGAACGAACGGCCGCTCTATTTATGCCGCTTTGGTCAGCAAACGGCGACGCGAGGAGCGGACGGACAGGGGGCCGGGGGAGGCTGGAGCTGGAGGCGCCAGCAGTCGCGTGGTTGGAGAGTGGTGGCGCCTCCTGTGGACCCGCATGTGGAGAGCGGCTTCTGGACCACCACCCTGATTGATTAGTACTCGGTGGAGTGTCTCTTGAATGAGGTATTCTGTTGGCATAAAAGCTCTCCGGAGATCGGGAAAATCAAGCCAGAACATCACCAGACTTCAATTGTGTTTCGGAAATCTGCCAATACAATTGAAAATCAGTCAATTCCCCCCCCCCCTAAATAAAGGTTGAAAGATTGATGTTCTGGTTTGTTCTTCCTTATCTTCTCTTTGTACCAGTAAATTAGTACCTCATTGGCACCTCCTGGACCACCGCTCCCTGGCTGCCGCTGGACCTGCTGCTGGAGCTGGAGCCTTCTCAAAACCTTTCTTGTTGCCAAAGAGTTGGAGTCCGCAAGCTGCGCGGGCCCCTCTTTCTGGAAAGTGTGGGATCAACCCATCGACTGTTGCCGCCGGGAAGTATACTGTGGGACTCGGGGGGAGCCTGGAGCAGCTGGAGCAGCTGGAGCAGGAAGTGTGGACTGGACTGCACGACCCACTTGATTGAACTGGGTCCCGCGGCCGGCTGGGCCAGCTCAGCTGACGGGGCGCTTCCTTGTTGGAGTGGGCCAAGCCTCGGGCCAGCCTCAGCCTGCTGCTGACCGGGACAGCTCCCCCCCGGAGAGGAACACCTCGGCGTCAACTCTTTTAAAGGGTAGCCGCGTGTCGTGTCGCCTGGAGGAATACAATGATTTGTGTGTGAGGCAAAGGGGGAAGGGGAGGAGGACACAACGCAGGCGGGATGGCAAAAGGTGGGGGAGGAGGAGGAGTGCAGGTTGTTGCCTCCTGGCCTGGCGCGGGCAGTGGAAGCCCCTCTCCCTCCCCTTCTCCCACCACTGCGGCCTCTCGCCGCAGGAGTTGCAAGTTGCAACTACTAGTAATTGTGGGCTGGAAGCGGGTCATGCAGCGCCTGTGGTGTGCCTGGCGCGCCCGCCCCCCGAGGCGCCCCGCGAGGCGCGACAAAGAAAGGCGAAGCAGGGGCCTTCCTACTCACAATGCAGCCCTAGTGTCTTGTCCTGCCTGATCTGCTGCGTGTGTTGTGTGGTTTTGTCGCGCTCGCCCGGAAGGGTTGATCGAGCCGGACGCTGCTCATACGGGGGGCGGAATTGCCGAATGAAACGCACATATTGGTGAGAGGGAGAGAGAGAGCGGAGGTGGCGTGAGAGAGAGAGAAAGAGAGAGCCTGACGGGGACGACGAGAGGGCGTGGCGCTTAGCCGGCGCAGCTTGCAGCTGATGGATCGCTGCGGGAAAATGGATGGGTTTCTCTCGCGCGCGGGGACAACTTCCTCGGAATACGTTGAAGAAAAAGTGAGAGAAATAATGAATGCTGAGGTGAGCTAGACGGGACGACACGGCGCGTTTGGCGGAGCGTGTCTTGCAGCATCACATCCTCTCTGGCGGTACATACTCCCCCCCCCCCCCCCTCCTTCTGTCCATTTCGCTACCGCCGTGCCGGAAAGTCGTTAAAACAGGTTTGTTTCCGTTCTGCCAGTGGTCGTGTTGGGTTTCCAGTCCGTAAAGGCTATACGGGAAAGGAAAGGGAACCGATCGCTCGCCGGGATTTGAACCCGTCCTCTCTCCCGTAGCGCCGGGGGAGGGTTGGGTTGAGGTGCGAGGGGGTCCATTCTATCGCCCTACGACCATTTCGTTTTCTTTCCCCTCCTCTGCTGGGTTCTCCTCCTTTGCCTTAACTTATTGCCGCGTCTTTTTCTAATCGCCGATATCCTCGAGATTTCTCCATAACAGTGATGTCCTAATCTGGTGCTGCAATCTGTGATCGTGATCCCGATCGGTATCCCCTGATCGTGATCCTTAGCGCCGGGCTGCGCGCGGCTCGTTGGCGGGGCGGGCGTTCCCAGGACCACGGGGCTCGGGACTCGCGGGCCTGGGCGGGTACGGTACTCGGCGCACCGAGAGAGGGAGGGAGAGAGAGAGGGAGAGACGGGACCACACGGCCCTTTTATCTTTCATCCCGCCCCGTCAGCTCCGTGCCCGTCAGTGCATGCTCGGGCCGACGCGTGCGCCAGCGTGGCGTCAGCGTGGCGTCGCAGCCTTGTGCTGGATGTGGACGCGGTGCGATGTGGCCGGCACGGCACGCGAGCCCGCCGGCCGCCCGGCCCGGGCCATAGGTCCTGGAGGACCTTTTACGTGTGCGTGGCGTCCGCGCGGGCATCCCCGGGGAGGACGCAGAATCATTGAGGAGGAGGACGCCGCCGAACCTGGGATAAGGAGGGACTAGAGTTCAGATTTTTCAGATTTTTGGTGTACATGGAATACCTGGAGTACTTTTAAAGTACCTGGAATTTTTTTCTGCAGTTTTGCAAGTTTTGGTGGAATTTTGGGAATCCTTTTGGAATGTCTGGAATATTTTTGGAATATTTTTCAGTGTGTACATGGAATATCCAAGTGGTCCACCTGTCTTCAGTCTGGGAGCGGGACGAGACACGTGTGACATCCGAGTTGGCTGGCATCTCCAGACATGGTCGGGGCTCTTCTCGGCGTTCAAGCCCCGCGATTTCCCCCACCTCCCGCGCGGGCTGTTTTTACCCGCCCGGATGTTCGATGTATCGAATGACGGTTCCGGCTGGAGGAGATGCCTGCCTCTCGCTCCTCGGCGTGCCTAGATCTGATTGAACCTCAGGTGCGGCAACAGCGCCAGCGCAGCGCCCTGTCGGCCGCGCTTCGCTCTGCGCTGTGCGCTCCGCCTTGCTCCGCCACGGCGTCCAATCTCCGTGCAAAGCTTGTGGCCCAGCGAGGCGTGGCGCGGCGTGGCGCGCGGCGTCACGGTCCCTGCCTGGTCGTGACTCAAAAGGGAGGAGGAAGAGGAGGAAGAAGAAGAAAGGAGAGGCGGAAAAAAAAGGAAACAGTAACTCAAGCGCTTACCTCAAGACGAATGGCACGGCTGGACTTGCGCGGCCTGGCGTCTCAGGTTCAAGGTACGCGCTTAGGGTATCCCGCGAAGCCACGCCTCGCCTTTGCCACCTGCCATGCCCTGCAGCCGGCCTAAACAAAAGTAGACCGCTGGGCGCGGCGCGGGTGCGGTTTTTCGCGGGGCGACTAGAGGAAAAGCAGTCTGGTAGTCCAGGAATTGATCATTACGTACAAAATTAAGTACACGCTCGCTAGAGCAGCAGGGGCTACAGCACCTCATGGGCGAATGGAACAGGCAAACCCGCAACACTGCCGCCGTGTCCGCTCTGAAGCGCCGGTCACACCACTAGCTATCAGACTGACAGGACAGGCTAGAGCTCTGAGAAATCACCGAAAGCGATCGACCGACACTGACTTGCACGCGGCCTGTCCCGTCCGAGCCCGGTCAGCGTCGGTCGGCCGCTTTCGGTGATTTTGCAGAGCCTTGCGACCGGCTCAGTTCGATAACTTATGTGAGCCCTCATGTGGGGTCATGGAGAAATCCTTACTAGAGAGGCGGCCATAGGGGACGGCGATCAGACGGCTCAGCAGGCGGCAGCGAGGCCACTAGCGCATTGACGCGGAGGGTCGAGGTCTGCCCGGAGACCTGCACGCGGGCTTTCGAGCACCGGGGAAGAGAAATTTAGTCTCTACAATGTCTTCATGATGATAAAAATGAGGTAAATGCTGAGCGTTTCAGAACGACACTGCTGTGTTGCGTGTTTGCCTGGGTCGCAGACCCCATGGCGGAGGGAGTAGGCAAACCGGTAGTGTCTACCCTAAAGCTCTGAAACACCCGCTATTACAGTCTTGGACGATACGTTCACATATTTTTTGTTGAGGCGCCTGGTGGGTAGGCACGGCACGGGCACGCCGCTGGAGATGGTGGCCTATCTCCCGCTCGTCGGGCGTTTTGGGGGAGGTGGGCGCCCGAGTGCGGGAGGGCGGCCAACCCGCGGCCGTGTGCCGGGAAGTATGTACCATCGCTCTAACCCCCCTTTTTTCTGTTGCAGTTCGACGAGTACGTGCGGTCGCTGCAGATCGACCCCTGCTCCCCGAACTTCTGCCTGGTGACGGACGGCCAGTTCCCCCTCCGGCAGTGCCTCCACCCGGAGAGCTGCTCCAAGAACATCGACCTGGCGCCGTACTACAACACCTTCCACGATCTGCGAAAGGACTTCAGGGCCTTCTATTCAGCGCCCGATGTCGTCAATTCCATCAAGGAAATGATAACTTGTATCCTTTTACCAGATGCATTTTTATTTTTAACAAATAACTTTTGCTCTTGCGGGTGTCAAATACTGGATTGGATTGTGGGTCGGGCGACTGGGTTGTTGATAGGTGGGTTTGTGGATCTGATTGCGAAGTGTCGGTTGGTGCGTTAGGAGATCCGTAGGCGATATGTTGTTAGGGCCCGCAGAGCCCGGCGCGGACTCGACTCGAGTGAACTGGCCAGAACTGGACCGGAGGAGGAGCGCAGCGGAGCCGGGCGGAGCGCCTCCGGGGCGAGCCGGATGGAGGGAGCCGGCGGAGAAATGTCGCCGACGCGGACCCAAAGGGGGAGAAGAGAAGTAGGGGGAGCGGGGCAGGAGCGTCGCTGCTGAACCCTCTTCACCTTATTCCTCTCTGTTTCTTCTTTGTCTCTGCCGTTTCATTCGCCGGCAGAGTCGGGCCGGAGAGGGGCCTAGCTGGCCTAGCGGCGGCTGGCGCGCGAAGCAAGTGCCATTCCCCCTCCGCGGGCTGTAGGGGCCCCGTGGCGCCCAGGCCGGCCGGCGCCGCGCGGGTAGGCAGCCCGTCGGGCAGCGCTGCTGGGCGGGCCTGCGGGTCGGGCGCCGCGGCGGCCCAGGGGGCGGATCGCTGCTGGAGCCCCGCCTCCCGCCCCGCCGCCGCCGCCGGTTCCCCTCCGCTGCCGCGAATGGAGCCCGGCTCTGAAGTCCGCGGCTCCTGAGGTGTCTTTCTCGTTTTGTGCTTTGGTTCGACTGAGCCACGCCGGCGCCGGCCGGCCGCCTGTTCGCACGGGCGGTTTGGCTATTTTTGGTGTCGGTGCGAACAGGACCTTGACCCGATCGTAGGTCGCTCGCTCCATGCTGGCTCCGATCTCAATCCCTTCTCCTATGAGGGACATTCGATGGCTGGAGGCAAAGATTTGGGCCTGGGCGCGGGATGCCTCTAGTACGGTCCACTTAAGGGGTGGGGAGGGGGTTATCGGGTGAAAATGCCTTAAATGTAAGAAAGTGTAGTCCGGGGGGGGGGGATGTTCCCTAGTAGGCAGGCAACTTATTCCCCCGTTCATAGTCACGCTTCGCCACGTCCCTGGTTGACTTCTCGGTTTGATGCCGCCAGTTCCCAGAGGTGCGCAGGTGTTTTAGGTGGACACATGTTGCGGGTTTGCCTACTCCTCTCGCCCGTAAGGCGCCATAGCCCCCGCGGCTCTAGCGAGTCTGCAATCCCGCAACGCTGAGGTAGAGTCCGCTTTTGAACACCCGGTACATGGCGACGAGAAACTGGGCCAACCAGCGAACCAGATTGTCCCGACTTGTCACTCTAGTTCGACTTTAAAACGTCTTTTCCAAACGCGACGGGACACATCATGTGACCGTGTGAGCCGGTGGGATGTTGTGCGACAGAGAAAGAGGGAGACGGACGACTCACGGGGCTGCCACACAGTGCATCTGTCTCTGTCGCACGCGGCGCCTCGCCTCGCGCTGGCCCGCGGGCTGGCTGGGAATGGGTGGAAAAGTTGAAACAATAAAACAAACGGGCAGTGAGTGAGGCTGGTGGCGGGGCGGGGCGGGGCGGGGAGTGCCTTTGCAGCTTGCGCGCGCGCGCGTGTCCCCGCCGGCTTTAGGGCCGCGTCCTGTTCGCCGGAGCACGCGACCGATGTGGCGTGGCGGAGCGCGGCGGAGCAGAGGTAAATGATGGTTATCGCCCGCCCGGCTCGGGGACATACGCGATGCCGACGGGCATTACGTAAAAACCTCACCTGCTGCTGAAAAATAAAAAAGAGGCTTACTTGACGGCGGCCAGCATAGCTCTTTGCTCGGGACTGACGGACTGACGGACGGACGTCGGGGGAAGTTTGGCCGGTTGGCGCCGGTCACGTCCATAGCATTGCACGCGACGGGCGGAGCTTTGGCAGCTGGGAGAGAGAGAGAAAGGCGCTATGTTCTCTATCGCTTGCTCGCTCCCTTCTGTACGGTCTCTGTCTCTCTCTCTCTCTCTCTCTCTCTCTCTCTCTCTCTCTTGCTGGACGCCGTACGTACCGCCTTCTGCAGGCTCATTACGCCCAAAGCATCCTGGGCTAAGCCGGTGGCGGCGCGGCGAGTGAAGGGAAACTGGCTGAAATGCACACAACTGGAATGCGCAGTGAGGCGCGTGGATCCGAACCGGGTCAGCGGGCGGGGGAGGGGTGGCGGGGGCGGGCACCTACCGCCCTAGACAGCTCCGGGCCAGGTGGGGCCTCCGCTGTCGCGGCGCCCGGGGCACGGTGGGCGGGCTCATTGGCTCCTGTCCGGCCGCCTGTGCGAGGTTTGGACGGCGCCGATACCGTCCCCGATAGCGACACGGGGGCCTCCTGCCCGGGCCTCCTGCCCGGCGTATGCAGATGGACGGCGGCGGGGACGACACGCGTTTAAAAAGGCAAAGCAGTTGTCGGGGAGGGCGGCGGCGCGTCCGCGCGGCAGGGGCAGGGCCCGGCCAGGGCCGCCTTAGACAAGCGCAGGGCTACCTGTAGCCCGGCATAGGCCCGGGCCGGGCGTGGAGGGCTCCGCGAGCTTTAGGCCCGGGCGTGGAGGGCTCCGCGAGCTTTAGGCCCGGGCGGGCGTGGAGGGCAGCGCGAGCTTTAGGCCAGTGTGTGGAGGGCTGCGCGAGCTTTAGGCCCGGGCGTGGAGGGCAGCGCGAGCTTTAGGCCCGGGTGTGGAGGGCTGTGCCAGCTTTAGGCCAGTGTGTGGAGTGCTGTGCGAGCGTTGGGCCAGGGTGTAGTGTGGAGGGCTGCGCAAGCTTTAGGCCAGGGTGTCTGCGCAAGTTTTAGACTTAGGTGTAGTGTGAAGGGCCGCGCGAGCTTTAGACCAGAGTGTGGAGGGCTGCGCGACCTTTATTTCCGCTTCCGGTTACATGGGCAGGGGGACGTGTGCACGTGTGTGGGTCGCGGCCCTTCCCGTCCCGGAGCGCGGCGGTGGTGGTCAGCGGTCATGTCGAAAGCCATACGTTTCGCAAAAATCCGATGGAAGCGCGACCAGCGCTGCTGCTGCTGCTGCTGCTGCGTGTTGCGGTGAACGCGGCCCCACCGCGGGCTGAGCCGGCGGCACAACAGGTTGCCTCGCGACCGCCGCGGCGGCCGCGGTGAGATGAGGTGACGCGGCCGCTAGATAGCGCGGGGCGGCCGCTGCAGGTGCCGCTGCATGTTGTAAACGGCTGACCCTGGCTCGGACCCCGGCCGCGGCACTGATGGTGGGAAAATGAAAAGAAAGACGGTGAAGTGAAAAAAAAGAAAGGTGCGATGGCTACTTTTAAAGGTGCGGTTTGGTTTCCCATTGGACGTGGACGGACACCGCGGCGCCGCCGGCGTGGCAACACTGCCGTCACAACTATGCCCTCCTGGAGGCCACCGTGGCGCCCTCGCTCGGCGGCGCGCGGCACTCGGCCGGCCCAACAGCTGGGGCCCGGCGCAGGTTCGGCCGGCCCCCGCGAGGTGGCGCTGCCGTGCGCCCGCGGCGGGCCCGGACCGGGCCGAGCCGGCCCCGCGATCGCGGTGGTGTGGCCGCGGGTCATGGCGGCGGAGCACATGGTCCCCGCGGTCTTGTTGAGGACGGGGATGTGCGGACCGTGGTGGTGCCTGCCGTGCCGAGCTTGCATGTCGCTAATCCCTTTCCCATTGGCACGATTCGCACCACCGGCCTCCTCCGTCCAGCTGGTCGGTTTTGCCATGCTGCTTGGTCGTCACGAGGCCCCTGTGGCTGTGGTGGTTGGTGGCCGGATCTGCGATAGCCTCTGGTCCGTCTTGTGAAGGTCAAGTAGCGCAACCCAACTTTGTCTAGGCTGGCCGCCACTATGTAATCTGATTCAAACACATCTGCTCATTTATAGCCGGGCGACAATCCGTCCCAAGAAGGGCGCTTTGCTTTGTCTTCCCACCAAAGACCTGGCCCGTCATGCTGCGCGGGACTTCCCTGGCAGGTTTTCTCAACATTGCCTTCTCTAGTTGTGTGAATCCTTAACTCTCTCCCTCCAGATTTAAGCATGACATTCGACACGGAAAACGAGTTTTACGTGAAAGAAGCCAAAGACATGGTCAACATCGTCCACAGGTTGATCGCTGACGGTAAGTGTTCTGCAATAACAAAGTAATGCATGATGATTATTATTTTTTTTAGAAGAACGCAGTCGTACATGCAGTACTAGTTTTGAAGCTTCAGCATGTGTGATGCGGCCTCCCCGTCCATCAATTAGTTCTTATCTCCGAATCAGAGCGCTCGTTGGGAGGGGGTGGTTATTGTCGAGATATCGAAGCGATTAGGAGGGGGCCCTCCACGGCGCGACGACGCCCCCTCTGGCCCTCTCTCTCTGCTGATAGCGATAAGCGCGCGCCTTGTCCTTACAAGGGGGCTTAGGCAAGTGTAAATTCCCGATCTTGCCCAAACTCGGTATATTTGTTTCTTATCTATGTTGATGGCGACTGACGGTAGTATTTTTTCCTGAGTGTCAATTTCTAGGGTACTTTAGGGGAGGCAATAATGGAAAAAATATTGAATTTGGGCCAAAAATGACGGAAGGAGGTCTCAAATCGAAAAGTTGCAGAGGAACTACCCCCCCAAAACCGCTCATTTTGAGTCAGAATATCACTTAATATTTGTACAAAAGTAGAAATTTGTATTTTTGAAATTATACGCTATTATACGGCTTTTATAGGGAGTTTCGGCACATGACTCTCAGGAAAAATTTGGTCGGCATTCGTCACCTACATAGATAAGAAGCAAATATACCGAGTTTGGGCACGATCGGGAATTTACACTTGCCTAAGTTCCCTTGTTAGCTCCCAATGACTGGTGGTGACGCCCGCACTGATCCATATACGACGGCTTTCGGGCCGTTCGTCGTGTTATGACTTCCCGTTTCGGAATGCAGTCGCTTCCCTCGTCACGTCCGTCAGGTATAGTGAAGGGTCGTTGGGGCAGCGGCGACAAGGGCGGCGCGCTATGCGGCCGCTCTAGGACCCGTCTCCTGTCGCCGCACCGAGACCGAGGACGACCTCGCCGTCGCTGTCGCCAGCCCCCGCCCCGTCAGTGACTCTGGACCGAACTTCGCTGATAAGTCTTCGCGATACCCCGGTCATCGCAGGGACTCCCCACCCCACACCCACCCTGCGCAGCAGCGCTGCCGCGGGATGGCGCGGCGCGGCGGCTTCAGGATATCTCTGCTCCTTTTGTTGTCTTGGCTATCATCTGAGAGTGCGCCCGGCCCGGGACGCGCCGATAACCACGGTGCGGGGGCTTCTGCTGCTGCTGCTGCTGCTGCTGCTGCTGCTGCTGCTGCTGCTGCTGCTGGCGCGCCCGGTCAGCTGGGCGAGAGGGGAGGGCTGGGCCGAGGAGACGTTATGTGACCACAAAGCCCGGTGATGCTAGCGATATCTCACGAAAACAAGACAGAAGTAAACTGGATCGATTTTGGGCGTTCCTCTTTGTACGATTCACACCGCGGCGGCGACGTCTTCGCTTCCGCAAAGTTAGTCTACAGGGGTGGCCGCTCTGCCCCGTAGTTTTGAAAAGGTAGACTAGTCCGCTTGCAGACGGAGCGGGGGAAGTGGGAGAGGACGGGAGAGGTAGGTGCGGGCGGGCTAGTCTACCTTTTTAAAACTACGGGGCAGAGCGGCCACCCTGTATGGCGGGGCTGGCGTGCGGGACAAGGGGTGTGCGCAGCTAGCCCACAGCTTGTTGGCCCGAGTACAGTCCATGACGCTCTCGGGTGTCTTTGGCTGCCCCCGCCCACACAGGTGCTACAGGTGCTACGCTGGCTCTCTCTCGCCATCCATCTCGTGTGTGTCTCACCCACCCCATCTTTCTGTCTCGCTCTCTCAAATTGCGTCGCGCGGCACTGAGCGAGGCGGTGGTGGTGCGCTTGCACTGAGGTTTTGCACCCTACTTCTCGTTTCGCTCGCTCGCTCTCTCGCTCAGCAGCCTTGTCCGGTCAGTCCCCGGACGAGAGGGGTAGGGGAAGGGGGGGGGGGCTCTGGCCTGGCCCCGGTGTGGCGGTGTAGGCACTATGCAGTGGGCTCGTCTACATTCGCACAGTAAGCGCGTTTCGCGTGGCGGTATGGTGTCGGCTTGCACGCCGCGAGCGCGCGAGCTTGGTCGTGCTGAGCAGGGCCAGGGCGGGGTTGGCTGAGTTGGGTCTGAGCGGAAACTCGAGCGGCGCTATACTGCGTGGTTGGTGTGGCTGCTCGTCCTGTGTAGAGTCCCGGTCCCTGTCCACCGAGGGGTACGCCCCCCCCTTTTTTCCCTCAGCCGATGATACGTGTTATCGGAGCTGGGCCCCCCGTGACCCCCGCGAGGAGGGGCCGGGGCCGGGCCACATCCACTCAGATTTGGTGTCTGTCTGGGGGCAAAGGATAACGGGGCGGTACACGACGGCCTGCCCAAGACGGAAGTGGCGCGGGGGCGGGCGCGGTGCGGTGCGCCCGGAAGGGGACAGGGCCGGGGACGTGCTCAGCAACCAACGCAACACACGGGGCAGGCGCGGATCTACCCCGAGCTCCCCACAAAAACCAGTGACGTGCAGGGGCGGCCAGGGCACACACTCTCTAGTGTCTTGTTTTAGTCGGATTGAGCACAACAATTTGCCCGCTCACCGGGCAGTTAGGTGACGCGACGTTCCGACCTGGAGGAGGACTCCGATATGGAAATATGCAGGCCCCGCCCTACTCTGTCCGCTTGCGCCAGGACTGGGCCATGGCCGAGGGAAGTCCCAGAGCCCGGCCCGGGTCAGCAGCAGCAGTGGTGGGCTCGGTGGGCTGGGGCCCGCATAGGCGCGGTCATGTATCGGCCGCACCGAGCACTGCGGCTGTGTGTGCCCCATTGGTACTGGATGGGCTCGTGCTCCAAATTGACACTTGACGCGGGGTCGGCCTGGCCTGGGCGCCTGCCTGGCCGGCTGCTGGAGCGGCGCCCGCGGTCACACGCCCGTGCTCCTCACAGGCAGTGCGATTTAATTTTGTGGAAAAGGGGGGGGGGGGTAGGTGTTCTCTTGTGCACCGCCCCTCATCTGTAGAGGGCGGAGGTGGGGGGATGGGGGTTGTGTGCCGTCCATTTTATGTGTCTCTGGTTGATGCGCCGCCGATCTCGAGTCCGTCCCCACACACACACACTGGACGCGCCTTTTACTGTGTGGTGCGGCCGCCGGCTCTCGGTCTGACCGTCCTCGCAAGTAATCCAAACACACTAGCTCATGCCCCGCCCCGCCCCGCCGCCGACACTGCAACACGCCCCAACAGGCACGGCCGGCGTCAGCGTTTCGCGTGCTCGCGGCGCTGCTCGCGGTTAGGCCCCCGCCCCGCCACGCCACGCCCTGCTGCTCGGCGAGGCGCTTTCGTCTTCGCCCCGCCTTTTGTCGGGGCGGCATGCATGTGATGTGCACTTCTTGCCAGCCTGGATTACTTCATGACACCCTCCTGGAGGAGGACACCGGCAGCGTCTGCTCCGCGCTCTTTTTGCCCCCCCCCCTCTTCCGCTCTCCTCCCGGCGCCTGCCGGCGTCCACTTACTTGTTGCCCTGGAGCGCCCGCGCCACCCCGCCCCCGCCCTCCTGCTACTGCCCTTGTCTTTGGACGCCAATAATGTAAGCAGCATTCGACTTGTCATAAGCCACGTGGTGCGTGGTGCGGGTGCGGGGCGTGGCGGCGCGGGGTGTGAGTGAGTGGTGGAGCCTTGGGGTATGGCTTTATGGAGTGGCTACTTGCTCGCCGGCCGCCCCCTAACCTGAGCCACTGCGAACGGAACTCCTCCGCCGTGCGAACGAATTTCGACACAATCGACACACCGGCGTGTTCCTCTAGGTCCACTCTAATTATTAGTCACA